CTCAAAAACAAACAAAAAATCTATGCTTCAAAAGATACCATCAAGAAAGTGAAAGAGTAAATTCATGAAATGAGAGAAGAGATTTGCAAATCGTTTATCTGTAAAGGACATGAATCCAGAATTACAACTTAACCATAACAACACAACCCAATTAAAAATAGGCAAAAGGCTTGAATAGACATTTATCCAAAGAAAATATGTGAATGAAAAACAAGTATATGAAAAGATGCTCAATCATTAGCCATTAGGGAAATGTGTATCAAAACCACAATGATCTGCCCCCCGGAAGGGTCAGACGGGAAGGAATGCTGGGGTGGGGTTTTGTCATCCTGGTGATGGATAACCTCATCTCTGTAGGTGACAGAGCTTTCCCAATGTTCTCACTCTCCAATGACAGCTGGAAATGTGTTTTGTTTTGTGGAAATGAAGGCAGATGAGTCATGAGAAGAATGGGCTAATAACTGCAACACTATATCCTGAGCAGCCAAATGTGCAATCATCTTTTTATGAGACTCCTGTAACCGAGCTATAAAATCAATGTATGGTTCTCTTGGTCCCTGTTTTATAGCAGTAAAGGAAAGGTATTGTTCCCCACCTGAAGTGATTTTTTCCCAAGCTCTAATGCATACTCCTCTAAGCTGTTCTATGGCATCATCGTGCATGACCAATTGTGCATCTAAACCAACCCAGCCGCCAACCCCTAAAAGTTGGTCTGCTGTTATATTAATTTGAGGTTGGGCCTGGACATTGTGAGCAGCCTGAATGGAAGCTTCATCTGCCCACTAAGTTTTAAACTGTAAGAACTGAGCAGGAGTTAGACAAGCTCGAGTAAGAGCATCCCAGTTAGTAGGAATCATCCGACTGGAAATAGCAACATTCTTTAACAGTCCCGTTACAAAAGTAGAACCTGCTCCATCTTGATTTATAGCTTATTTAAATTCTTTGAGTAATTTAAAAGGAAAAGGTTCAAATGTAACTGCAATATTTCCCTGTTGATCTGGGGGGTGTATTCTAACATGGAACTGCCAAGCCTCTAAATCACCCTCTCGTCTAGCTTGCTGAATTCCTGTCTGAATAGAACTAAGGGCGGTCGCTCAAGGTGCTGCTCGAACAGTCACTGGGGCAACTACTTTTCACCCAATGTCCTCTGGAAAAGAAAGATCTGGAGGGTCTTTTTCTTCAAAATAATAAGGAGGGGGTGCAGAAGGGTAGGGATGAACCTCTCCTTCCTTTGCCGCTTTAGATTTAGCTGGCAAATAAACATGCTCTGTAACCTCTTCTGTTACTTCGTTACAGTCTCTTCCTCCTCATCATCAGTGTGAAAAAGTTCCAAGGTGGAACAAACCAGACCCCACACCTGTCCCATTGTTACCCTGACACTTCTGAGCTCCCCTTCTTACTCACCATGGGGATTGCTTTAAGAGTACTCGGGTATCCTCCAGCTAGTTTTCCATTCCAATCATCACTCTGGCGACCCTTCGACCTGGATTTGAGCCCCCACGAATGGATGCCAGTTGCCGAAACCAGCTCGGTCGGGGAGACCCTGACCCAGAGGAGCTAGAGGAATTAAAGACACATACACAGAAATATAGAGGTGTGAAGTGGGAAATCAGGGGTCTCACAGCCTTCAGAGCTGAGAGCCCTGAACAGAGATTTACCCACGTATTTATTAACAGCAAACCAGTCATTAGTATTGTTTTTATAGATATTATATTAACTAAAAGTATCCCTTATGGGAAACGAAGGGATGGGCCGACTTAAAGGAATAGGTTGGGCTAGTTAACTGCAGCAGGAGCATGTTCTTAAGACACAGATCGCTCATGCTATTGTTTGTGGCTTAAGAATGCCTTTAAGTGGTTTTCCACCCTGGGCGGGCCAGGTGTTCCTTGCCCTCATTCCCGTAAACTCACAACCTTCTAGCATGGGCATTAGGGCCATTATGAACATGTTATAGTGCTGCAGAGATTTTGTTTATGACTAGTTTTGGGGCCAGTTTATGGCCAGAATTTTGGGGGCTTGCTCCCAACAGAAACAGACATTAGAATGGTGGTTTCCAAGGACTGGGGGAGGCGAGATGTTACTCAATGAGTATAAAGCTTCTATTATGTAAGATAATTAAGTTCTATATATATAGCAACTTGAATATATCTCCAGAGAATTGTACTGAATGAAAAAAGCCAATCCCACCATTTGGATACTGTATGATTCCATTTGTATAACATTCTTGAAATGACACAATTGTATATATGGAGGACAGACTAATGATCGAGTCTGGAGGAAAGTGAGTGTGGCTATAAAAGGGCAAGATGATGGATCCTTGTGGAAATATTGGAAGAGATCCTTGTGATGGAAATATTCTGTCTCTTGAATGGACTGACATCAGTATCCTACTTGTGATATTGCAAGATGTTGCCCTTGGGTGAAATTACCTAAGAGACGTAGGTCTCTCTCTATGATTTCTGTATTATGTTTTACAGCTTGACGTGAACAAATCCACATTTATCTCTGAATAAAAGATTTCACTTAAATACATCATTAGTCACCACCTAAGGTTAGCTGCTGTTGACAGTTTTGTGGCCACTCAGACGTTCAGCAAATGTTTTTAAACTTGGCTTTGTGGTTTACTATAGAAAAGGGCCTCAGCCAGGCACCTGGTTCCTACCTTTCCTGTTGTGTAAGCTCCCCTGTCTGTATTACCCAACTCATCTGGAAAGTAGCTTGGCTGTGAAGATTGTTTATAAATCATAAGGCATGGAGACCAGGGGCCAGAACAAAGGAAACTCGTAACAACAAGGATTGATGCTTTCTTCTTATATCTAAAGATAAAGGCAATTGACATTACGTTTAAAGAGCTAGTTGTCTTTTATTTGCAATTCTAGAATCCAGCCACACCTCCTTCTATAAAATAGAACTAATGTTCTGGTGATCCAAGCAGAGGAATATGACTTCATACACAGAAACGGGCTGAGGAAAGCAGAAACAGAACAAAAGTGGGTGGTCATTTTAAAGTTACTTTACCTGTCAAGGTTAAAGCAAAGGGGATTTCTTTTATCATGAGTGCTAAAACTGGCCTGTTTGGGACTTGGCTATTCTCTCTCTCTCTCTCTCTCTCTCTCCTGAGAGGAGGTCAGATAACAACTTGGAGTTGGTGGCCTGGAACTTCAGCCTGAGTAGCTCCATTTCAGTTTGATCTGTTGGGCCTAGTGCAGGAACTCAGTCCAACCCAATAGTCTCCTATACATTTTATTCTACACCTATGCTCATTTTCTTCTTTGCACATCTGTATGCTTTGCAAATGTTCTACAAATAAGCATGATTATCAGGTTTAAAGTTGCCTGGGATGGTCCCTCAGTCCAGTCCATTGGGTGGACTGCAGAAATGTCTGCAGCAGATGTGACATGCCTCTTTTATTCCCCTCATTTATCTGCCTCCACTCATCCCTTGTCCTTTTCTATTTTCCCTCCTCCCTCTCCTTACCCATTCTTTCCTCTCTTCCTCTTCAGCCTGTCCTGCCCTCCCTAACTCGACTTTCTCTTTCCTCCTTTTCCTACCCTTTTCTTCTTCCTTATAGTTCTTTCCACCTTCTCATCCCCCTTTCCACCCTTTCTTCTTTCCTCCTCCTTGCCTTCTCCATTCTCTTCCTTTCCTGCCTCCCTGCCCCTCCCTCCTCCCACCTCCCTCCCTCTTCTTCCTGTTGGTTCTTCTCTCTGACCTGTTCTTTTCCCTTAGTCTCTCCCCAGCCCTTCCTCCTTCCCCTCCACCCTTCTTCCAACCCCTCCTTCTTCTCCATCTCTTCTTCCTCCTTCTCCATCTCTTCTTCCTCCTTCTCCCTCCTCCCCAGCTCTCCTCTGCAAGTCCCTCCCCTCCTATCTCTTCTCCCCGCTCCTCCTCATCCCTCCTCCCCTTCCATCCTTCTTCCCACCCCTCCTACTTCTTTTCTCCCTCCTCCCCCCTTCCCTCCTCCTCGCCCCTCCTTTCCCTCCATCCTTCTTCCCACCCTTCCTCCCTCCGTCTGTTCTCTCTCCTCTCCTTTCCCTGCCTCCTCCCCCTCAATTCTCCCTCTTGCCCCCGCCTCCTTGGCCGCGGTGGCCTCTGGGAGCTAGAGGAGCTCAGTTGGCTCTGCTCGGCTTCGCTCGGCTGGGGGCAGGGCTCGGCTGAAAAAGCCCGAGGGGAGGTGGCGCGCGCGGGCTTCTGGGAAGCGTAGTCCGGCGCAGTCCGCGCAGGCGCATTGCGGCCGGGCGGGCCTAGCGGGCGCGGTCATTGTCCTGGCAGAGCGGCGAGCGGGTGAGTGTGGCTGCGGGGTTCCGCCCACCCTCTACCTGTGCGGGGGGCCATACCCTGGCCCCGGGTAGGGCGCAGCCTCGGGGAGAGGGCGTGCAGGCCCAGGTACGGGGAGTGCAGGGCTGGGTGCAGGTCCAGGGCATGCGGGCGCAGGGGAGGGCGTGCAGGCCGGGACCGAGGGGCGCCTGGAGCGGCTGAGCGGCCGAGGGGAGGCTGAGGGGAGGCTGAGGGACTGAGGGGAGGCTGAGCGGAGGCTGAGGGTCTGAGGGGAGGCTGAGCGGAGGCTGAGGGTCTGAGGGGAGGCTGAGGGGCTGAGCGGAGGCTGAGGGGCTGAGCGGGGGCTGAGGAGAGGCTGAGTGGAGTCTGAGGGGAGGCTGAGCGGAGGCTGAGGGACTGAGGAGAGGCTGAGGAGAGGCTGAGGGTCTGAGGAGAGGCTGAGGAGAGGCTGAGGGACTGAGGGGAGGCTGAGCGGAGGCTGAGGGTCTGAGGGGAGGCTGAGCGGAGGCTGAGGGTCTGAGGGGAGGCTGAGGAGAGGCGGAGAGGCTGAGCGGAGGCTGAGGGGCTGAGCGGAGGCTGAGGGTCTGAGGGGAGGCTGAGCGGAGGCTGAGGGTCTGAGGAGAGGCGGAGAGGCTGAGCGGAGGCTGAGGGGCTGAGCGGGGGCTGAGGAGAGGCTGAGTGGAGTCTGAGGGGAGGCTGAAGGGCTGAGGAGAGGCTGAGAAGAAACTGAGGAGAGGCTGAGGGGAGGCTGAGGAGGGGCTGAGGAGAGGCCTGGGCCAGGAAGGGAGAGGCGTGACTGGGTTAGAGGTAGGAAAGTTGCATGGACACCAGGGCCATCCTGGGGGGAAGGTGGCCTGTGTGAGAGACAGGCTGTGCATATCATCCTGAGGATGAGGCTGAGCCTTTGTGGATATTGTGAATGTGTCTGTGTGGGTCTGTGTGTGTGTGTGAGACAGATTGTGTCGTCCTGAGGGTATGGCTGTGTCTCTGGAGATTGTGAGAGTGTGAGTGTGTGTGTGTGTGAGAGAGAGAGAGAGAAACTGCGTGTCGTCCAGAGGCTGGGTCTGTGAATGAATGTGAATGTGTCCATGTGTGTCCATGTGGGTTATGTGTGGTAATGTGTGTGTGTGTTTGTCCAACTTCTACAGAGTCTTGGTCTCTCTGTGGAGCTGTCTCTCTCCGGGCCTCTGCCTATACATGTGTGGTGATATCTCTGAGTGACTGCCTGTGTCCTTGTCTTTGGTGTTGTGGGTGTGTCAGCCTTGATCTCTATCCTTGGGTGTCTCTGTGTGAGGGTGCCCTCTGGGTGTCCACTATGTCTGGTCTTTCCATGCATGTCTCTTGGCATGAGTGTAGGGGTGTGTCTCTCCAGGGTCCAGTCCTGTCTGGATCTTTCCCTATCTCTGTGTGTCCACGTGTGTCTGAGTGTTTCTTAATGTTTGTGTGTGACTCTGCAGAGGTGGATGCATCTGGGTGTGCCTCTTCCAAAGACTGTATGCCTGGACAAGGGGGCCTAGCAGAGCCACTACCTTCTCACCCTACACTTCTCCTAGTCTGCCCAGCCACAGTTCCCTGGCTTTTTCTTGCCCACAGAAAGCTTTGGAGGCATAGGGGCCTGGGAGTGACAGGGGCAGGGTGGAGGAGGGGAAAAGAAAGGCTGTTTCTTCTGCCTCCCACAGGATCTTCTTAAAAGGGGATCAGACTCCTAAAGGGTCTCTGTGCCCTACTCCGTTCTGACCAAGGAGAGGTTGATTTGTTCACAGAATGTGTTTGCAGCCAGTGCTGGCCATTTATAGGTGTCCCAGTAACTCTGAGGTAGGGACCATCATCATCCTTATCTTACAGACAGGGAAACTGAGTCTCAGACTAAGTGACTCACCCAAGGTTACCTCAGGCATCCAGGTTCCACAGCCCCCACAATTAGCCACTAGACAAATGGGAGATCCCTTTTTTCCCTTTCCGCTCAGCTGACACAAGGTTGCAGGGTTTTCCCCAAGGGAATCTCCGCTTGAAAACAGTAGAAATGGATGAAAGGAAGGAAATGCTAAAAAGCTCAGAGGAAGAAGAATCCAGATCTAAGGCCAAACCAGGTTCAACAGTCACTGGCAAGTACTCTTGGGCAAGTCACTTCCAGGGCTGCTGTATGATTTTTAAGGGTACTTTGCCTTTATGGACCTCTTGCTCCATTGGCTTTTTAAAGCACTAAAAGTTACATTTTGTTATTTCATTAATAGGAAGACAAATGTATTCTAGGCTGGATTAGATCTTTTCTTATGATTTTAAAAGAAATTAAGACCTTCCTATGGGCCCCTAAAGGTTTCATGGGCCCCAGGCTCTGTGCCTACTGGGTAAGTGGGCTCTGGTCACTGCTGTGGTCTGGCAAAATGAGCCAGTGTTCTTGACCTCATAGGACACGGGTGAAAGTCAGAGACCACTGATCTGCAAGGAATATATTTTTTTAAATTAAATTCTGTTTCAAAAATGTGTATGGTGATATGAGGTTTCTACACCCAGGGAGACAGTTCAAAGGAAGAGAAAGAAAAAATAATAACCCCTACCCCTTTCTCATTCCCATTCCACGCCCTCCAGATACCAAGCCAGCCTCATTCCACAACCTTTCCCAGGATGGAAAACGCTGTACAGATGTGTCCACATCCACATGGGTTGGTTTGTTTTTTTCACAAAGGGACTGAAGTTATGCATAAAACTGGGTAACTTCCTTTTCTCACTTAGTGAAACCACAGACATGTCAACAGATGCAGAACTAACTCTGCGAGATTCAGAACTAACTCTGCTTCGCAGAGGCGACCTGATACTTCGTACTATGGAGACGCTACCATTGATTTGATTCCTTTAGTAATTTTATTAATTTTGTTTTCAGGGTGTGTGTTTTTTTTTTTTTTTCCTCTAGAAACAACGCTGCCATAAATATCTTTTTTTCCTATATGTAACTTTTACATGGAGCTTTATTAGTGTGGGCAGATTCCCAGGAACAGGGTTGCTGGGTTATGGGATTTGTGTATTGCCAGCTCACTTTCCAGAAAAATGTTGAGCGACTCACATTCCCTCACCAGTGTGTGAGAGGGCCTGTTCCTTTGAATCCTGGCCAGCACTAGAAGTTAGCTCATCTGTTCGTTCAGCTTGATGTCTAAGTGCCTCCTATGTGTTAGACATTGTCCTAGATGTCAGAAATACAATCTAAAAGTGATAATCCCTGCTCCCTGGGGGCTTCTGTTCTCATGGAGGGAAGACAGATGACAAACTTGAAAACAACTATTTAAGAAAAGACAGTTGTCAATAGTGGTTTGTACTGCAAGAAAATAGAGGGGGAGAGAGTTGCTGCTTAAGGTCAGGTGATTGGGGGTGGAGGACGTCTCTAAGGAGGTAACATTGAAGCTGACCAGGAAGTGGGGCTAGTCATGGGAAGAGCACTCCCTTCAGAGGGAACAGCAAATGCAAGGCCAGGGGGCCTGGGGCCAAGCATGGGAGAGGGGAGTAGAGGAGATGGAAGGGGAGAGGCCATCGGGGCACATAGTAAAGGCTGTGTGGGCGGCAGTGAAGACTTTGAGTGATTTCTAATGGTGGGGGAAGCCAAGGAAGAGTTTTGAAGACTTTTAACCCAGAGGACGTTTTCGCTGAGTGGTTACTGTTGACCAGGTGTGGTGCCTGTATACAGGTGTTAAGTGGTAGGAACCCCGAGCCCACGCCTTTGTGATCCTTTTGTTCTACAACAGGGCTTCTCAGCCTCCACACTACCGACCTTGGGGCCTAATCATTCTTTGTTGTGGGGCCTGTCCCGTGCATTGTACAATGTTTAGCAGCATCCCTGGTTTCTACCCACTAAATGCCCATAGTATTCCCCTGCCAAATTATGACAATTTGGCAAATGTCTCCAGACTTTGACAGATGTTTCCGGGGGGGGGGGGGGGCAAAATTGTTCCCGGTTGAGTACCAAAGGCTTCTGCCAACTTGGCCATATATATATACCCACCTACAATTAAAATTACTTTTCACCTGTGGAAGTTGGGACCATTTGGCCTAAGAAAGGCTCTTCTTTGTCTTAGTGGTTCTTACGCTGTCAGAGGTGTCAGAATCTCCTGGGAAACTTGTTTAGAAATACTGATTCAGGGGCCCTACCCAGGTAGTTTGATTCAGAGAATCTGGGAGGGGGGTTAGGAGTATATATTCTGAGTGATATTTTAATAAGCATCCCTAGTGATTCTGGTACTTTGAGCTAAAAGAGTATTGTGTTGGAGAGGACTGAGGTTTTTCTGGGTGATCCTGAAGGGCTGGAGATGTAGAGAGGCATGTTTCTGTTTATAGCAGAAGAAAAACTCATTTCCAGTCAGAGGTGTTGGTGGCGTGGGTAGGGAGCCCCCTGTCACAGGAGAAGCCAGGACTGAGCCAACATGTCTCAAACTCCAAGAATTTGTCCTAACCTGTGCCATGCATCCTATTTTTTTACTTTGCCATTTACTTGAATTGGCTCACTGATTTTTTTTTTTTAATTTAAATCGACTTAGTTTAAAAGGGCATTCTGTGTGACTGCTGTAAAAAGAAGCTGAGTTTTGCTGTAAGAAGGGAAACAAACATTAAAACAAATGGAAGTAAAGCCAGCTAGTTCTAATGAAATATTATGGTCACCCTAAGTTTGGGTCCTGAACCCTGCTTTTCTTTTTAATTTTAATTTTTAATTTTTGTGGGTATGTAGTGGGTTTATGTATGTATGGAGTACATGAGATATTTTGATACAGGCATACAATGTGTAATAATCACATCAGGATAAATGGGGTATCTGTCACCTCAAGGATTTATCCTTTGTGTTACAAACAATCTGATTATACTTTTGTTATTTTTAAATGTATCATTAAATTATTATTGATCATAGTCACCCTATTGTGCTATCAAATACTAGGTCTTATTTATTCTTTGTGTGTGTGTGTGTTTTGTTGTTGTTGTGTTTTTTGTTGTTGTTTGTTTTGAGACGGAGTCTCGCTCTGTTGCCAGGCTGAAATGCAGTGGCGCGATCTTGGCTCACTGCAACCCTTTGTGTTTTTTTAATATCCATTAGCCATCCGCACATTCCCCCCTCCACTCCACTGCCCTTCCCAGCCTTTGGTTTCTTCATCATTCTAGTCTCTATCTCCATGAGTTTAATTGTTTTAATTTTTAGCTTACACAAGTAAGTGAGAACATGCAAAGTTTGTCTTTCTGTGCCTGGCTTATTTCACTTAACATAATGACCTCTATGTTGTTGCAGATGACAGGATCTTATTCTCCTGCTTTTCTTTTGTTTCAAGGGGTGAGTAAGGGGTTGCAGGAATGTTAAGATACCTCTCCACTTGAGACTTTGTCCTGAGCTTGTCAGGGGAACTGAAAGAGAATTGAACCAAGCTGCATTTCTCCAGGCGAATCTGGCTCTGAGAGCCCCTGGGTGGAAGTTCCTTACACTCATATCTGCTAGTTGAACCTCATGGTAACCCCATGAAGTCTGGGGGAAGTGCCCGAAGAGGCCACGGGTGGTTCTGGGGCATCTCAGGGGGGCCTCGGTCCAGCACTCACATTCAAGGAGGGATCCGGGCAGGGCCATTGGGAGAAGGCAGGGTGTCCGGTGGCCCTCAGCAGCCTGTGGGAATGTGTGTGAGTGTATGTGTGTTGACTGTATCTGTAGGAGTGTGCATGGGAGTGCATTTTTGAGGCATTGTAGCCTAGTGGCTAAGCATGTGGACCCAGACATACTCTGCCTGACTCCAGTCCCAGCTTTGTAATCTCGAGCAAGTGGTTTAATCTCCTTGGGCCCCAGTCTCCTCATCTGTGAAATGAGTGAGTAGACGTAGTACCTACCTTCCAGGATGGTTAGAACATCAAGTGAGATACATTCAAGTACCCTACATGCAGTAAGCCCTCTAAATACTCACTGTTGGTGTGTGTGTATGTGTGTCTGTCTGTCTGTCTCTGCTTGTCTCTCAGTGTGTGTGATTTGTCCCGTCTACATATGTGAGGCCAGCCTAGACCTGGTCTCTCAGCATGCCTCCGTCTGTCTTCTCCCTACAGCCCTGTTGGCCCCCTAGGCCTGTCTTCCTGTTCACCGTGGGCAGCAGAGGGATGGCTGCTCAGCTGCTGACTGATGAGGCACTGGTGAGTCATGTTGCCCTGTCACTCTCCTTTCCAAAGGCTGGATTCCTGCCTTGGGTGAGCCTCTGCCGCTCGAACCCTCTCCAAGGCCCCCAGTCCCATCTTCTGGGGCTGTGTCTGTCCTGATGAGGAGGGCTGTGCTTACAGATGATGCTGACCCTGGCTGTGGGGTCAGTTGTGGGGGACAGGGAAGCTTTGGAATGGCCAAACCAGCTCTCTGGACTCTCAGGAGACACAGGTGGGCACCTGTGGGAAGTGGTGGTTTAGATATGTGACACAGTGAAAAAACTCATGCTGGATGTGTCACCTTTAAAATGGGCAGACACACCAAATGCTCCTTGTGGATGCCTACATGTGTGATGAAAGTACAAAAGCTTATGGGAATGAGGCCCACAAATTCACCCATGATTTTACCCCAAAAGATAATCACTCTGGAATGTTTGAGTCTGGCTAAGCAATTTTAATATTAAAGATTGCTTTTTCATCAGAGATCTCCTCAGCATTTCTCCACATCATTAAAAACTCCTTTGTAACATCCATCTTAATGACCACATAAAAGTGTTGTTCACTGGCCATACCCTGGTTTACTTAATGGTTCCTCTGTTGTTGGACCTTTATTGGTTTCCAAGTATTCTTTTTTTGGTTATAAACAGTGTTGTGAGGGATACTGGGCGTAAATCTTTCCTTGTGCCTTATGTGGTTTCTTTAGGAGCAGTTCCTTGAAGAGGAAGATTGGGTTGGGTATTTTTGAGGTATTTTGATACTACTTTCCAAATCAGTTATGGCGGTAGGTATTCCCACCAGCGTGTCTGAGCAGGTCTCCGCTGGTTTATATGGTTGTTGTCAGGCATTTATTCTGCATGTTGGATATATTTAGACTGGTGTAATATTGCACCATGATAATCAATGATAAATGGATATGAAAGCTATAAACCATGAGCCTGATAGGGCACAAGTGGTGCCAAGTGATTTCTTTCTGAGTAGCATTGTTTGTATTATTAGTGAAGTTCAAGTCTTAGAAAATGTTTACTGGCCATTTCTGTGGGCAGGGAAATGATCCATCTTGTGCTTTACCAGTCTACAGGAATCTGAGTATGCTTTAAAGACTTTACAGAAGTAAATGTGTGTGTGTAAATATTTGTTGCAAATGTTCTTCCCAGATTTGCTTTTTGTTTCTTTATTTTGCCTTATTTTTTCATAAAAATATGAAAAAAGCATTTCATATTTTTAAAATCAAATCTGTTGGTTTCTTCCACTGTGGTGTCTTTCTTCATCTTTAAGCTGTGAAAGGGTTTCTCCATCCACAGGTCACAGAGCAGCTATATTTTCTTCCTTTTTGCCATTTATCATTTGAATGTTAACAATGAACTTTTGAATCTACCTGTAATTTATTTTGCTATATAAATGTGTCAGTTGACTTATTTGGGAGCTTTGGTTTATTCTGTCTTCATTTATTTGATACCTTTGTTGAGGTACACATCACGTACCACAAAGTGTACAATTCATTGATTTTGGGTACATTCATAGAGTTGTGTTAACCATCACCACAGTCAATTTCAGAATATTTTCATCGTCCTGAAAAGGAGCTGAGTACCCATTGGCACTCATTTCCATTTCCCCCCATCAGTCCGCAGCCCCTGGCAACCGGTAATCAGCTTTCTGTCTCTATGAATTTGACTATTCTGGACATTTCAAATAAATGGAATCATACACTGTGTGGTCTTTTGTGACTAGTTTCTTTCACTTAGCATTATATTTACAAGGTTCATCTATGTCTTTCATTCCTTTTTTTGACTGAACAATATCCACTGCGTGGTTATACACATTTTATTTATCCTTTCATCAGTTGATGGACATTTGGGTTGTTTCCACTGTTTGGCTATTATGAATAATGCTGCTATGAACATTCATGTATAAGTCTTTGAACATATGTTCTCAGTTCTCTTGGGTGTGTACCTGGAAGTGGAATGTTGGGTCTCATATGGTTAACTCTGTTGAACCATTAAAGGAACCACCAGACTGTTTTCCTAAGCGATTGCACCATGATGCCTTCATTTTTATCTCATCTGTGATTCTTGCCTTGAATTCTTCTTTTACTTACATTACTTAGAAAGATTTGTTGTTTGTTTTTATTTCAACAGGGTTGGGAGTTTTGGTTTAAGTTTGGTTTTTTAAAAATTACTGCTAGTGTAATTACATCCTGATTTTTAAAAAAATTGAGCCTGTCTGGTTTCAGCTCTTTTGAGTTTTCCTTGTGGTGAAACGGTTTGTGTCATTAGACAGGAAACAGAAAAAGATAGAGTACTAGAAAAAGTGGCCTTGGACACGTACATGCAGAGAACTCAGAGGCCCATTGTAGCACTTCTGTCCCAACACGATGGGCTCCCAGACCTGGAAGGCTGTGTTCTGTGTCTCAGCACAACTCTGGTGCCAGTCTGGGCTTGGTGTCTGGAGACTGCTCAGTGAATAGTTACTGAGTGAATTAGGTGGGTATACTTAGGGAAGACTTCCAGAAGGAATTGTTATATTACAATTTTGTTAAATAAATAAATATAGGGGTGAGAGGGAACTTTTGGAGGTAATGGATCCATTTATGGCCTTGATGGTGGTGATGGTTTCATGGGTGTGTATGCATCTGCTAACTCATCAAGTTATGTACATCATTAAATATGTACAGCTTTTTCTATATCAGTCACACCTCAATGAAGTAGTTTAAATTTTTAGAAAAGGAGGAATTACTAGCTGGACTGGCTGAAAGATATATTGGGCCAAAAGGTCAAATAATATCATATAAGGATCTATAGTTGTACCTAAGATATATTAAATATCAAAATTAAATAATAATAGTAAGAGTCGACATTTACTGAGAGCTTCCTCCGTCACACGAGGCACTGTGCCTGGACCGTATTTCTACACATTTAACCTCATGACCCTGTGGAGGGGGACGTTGTTATCAGGAAGCCTGCTTCTCATATGAGGCTCAAAAAGAGAAAGACAGTTGTCCAAGGAAACATAGCTTGTGAAGGGCAGAGCCAGGATTCTGTCGCAGAGTGTGGTTCCTGAGCCCACACTCTGAACTACCAGCCCAACCACTTTCTATCAAAGGTGACCCCTGAGGTAGAGGAGGCTATCCTGAGCCCAAACCCCAGAAAGGTACCCTAGGACCATGGAGGGACTAGCCAGCGGGGGTGAGGCCTCCCCTTGGGATTTAGTTGGTGGTGGGGAGACTCAGTATGCTGGAGAGAGCCAGCAAGCTCTGGGTGTCAATAACAATAGCTGGGAGTTATTGAGTGCCTGCTGTATGCTATGCATTACCATTCTGGGAGTACATAAATAAGTGGGCAGGTGGGGCCCATGGCAAATTGGAGCTCTCTTGCCCTATCAAAGGGCCAGCCACCACTCAGCTCCAGCCTACAGTGGCCAGATATTCTGGTGTTTAAAGAGAAACTAAAAATTCATTTTCTTGGTAAATTGTGGATTTTTTTTCATGTAACAATTAAAAACAATTTTGAAACCCCCATGGGGCAAAATAGCAATGTGTGCAGCTAGCTTCAGGCCCAGATACATCTCATATGCGGTGCATGCTCAGAGCTCCCGTTCTTTCCTTGTGCCATGGGGGTTGTACCACTGACTCAGTTCAGAACATCAGGTCCCTCTGTAGGACACAGTAGGTCTCTCATTACTCACATACCATGCTATGAGGAAGCCCAAGCAGCCGTAAGGAAAAGCGATGTAGAGAAAAAGAGATGCCCACCAAGGCCTCAGCTGTGCCATCCCTACCAGCTCAAGAGACAGACATGTATGCAAAGAGGCCAGCAGACTACTCTAGCCCAGCTGCCATCCAGCCGCCTCCACACAAGAGATGCCAGGCACGAACTGCCCAGCTGAACCCATCAACCCCAAAATAGTAATAAATTGTTGTTTTTGAGCCATGAAGTTCTGAGATGGCTGCTACCCAGCAAAATATAACTGGATAGGAAATTTAATCTGTGACCGTGGCTCAAGATCTTCATGTGGTAGAGCCATGCATGGATGATGTGATCAGCCAGCAATAATGTGAGACGTGCAGGCCTTCGTCACATGAGGGAGGAGGTCGACTGTCAAGCACCATCTCTGGAAGTAGCTTCAGGATCACTTGTGATCTATCTGGAAGAGAAGCGCCAGCTGGGACACTCTGCTATATTTATCCAACTGTCTTCTTTATTGGAAAAAGACATGCCATCCATCTCAGGGTCTGATCCAAACTAAACTGCTCCTTGGCCCTGATGACGGCTAGATCGGTGTTATATGTGGATGAGGCCATGTAGTGTTGGGGCTGAGAGTTGAACTGACTGGGTTTAAAATGCTGCCACTCCTATCTGTGTGACCTCTTGTGCCTCAGTCTCCCCCTTTGTAAAAGAGATGAGCTCATAAAAGTGCCTACATAGTAGAGTTGTTTTAAAAATTAAGTGAGATGATGTGTGCAATGGGCTTAGAACAATACCTGGCATGTAATATGTACATGTTGTATGCCCAGTGCCTGGTGCGTAACAGGCACTTAATAAATATTCGTCGAATGAATACGTGAGTGGGTGAAGTGTCACTCTGTGTGTTTTCAGAAACCATCAATGAACATATTTGGAATATGTCAGAATATGTATTAGATACCATTGATCTAGAATTCCTGTTTAGGGGATTTGACCATACTTTTCTGGTAGCCCAGAAAATTATAAATTAAAACACCAGTTAAATTTCCTATCCAGTTGTATTTTGCTGGGTAGTAACCATCTTGGAACTTAATGGCTCAAAAACAACAATTTATTACTATTTCGGGGTTGAGGGGCTCAGCTGGGCAGTTCGTGCCTGGCATCTCTTGTTGGTGGCAGTTGGATGGCAGCTAGGTGAGAGTAGTCTGCTGGCTTCTTTGCTTACATGTCTGTCTCTTGCTTTGGTATGGATGGCACAGCTGAGGCATTGGTGGGCATCTCTTTTTCTGCACATGACCTTGTGGCTGCTTGGGCTTC